CTGATCTGAACCCTCTAGATTTCTTTGTTTGGGGATATTTGAAGACATTAGTGTATGGTACTCCTGTAAATAGCCTGGAAGAGCTGCAGCTACGGATTAATCAAAAGTGTCAAGAAATCCAAACCAAGGAGGGTGTTTTCGAAAGAGTTCGAATATCGTTGAGACGAAGATGTCGTGCCTGCTTGGAAATGGACGGAGGGCACTTTGAACATCTTCTGTAACTTTGTTTTTTGTTTGTTAAAAGTTTCCTTTGTCGGTTTATTCCTAATAAAATAAAATGTTTGAAAAACGAATAGTGGTCCATATATCCGCAACCGTTACTTTGCGGACCCATGTTTATTAAGACTTTTCTGCTTATTTTGGTTCATACTATTACCACCTGAAATATTTTACACTCTTTTCTTAACACCCTGTATATTGTCGTATCGGTTATCTCCTTAGTCTATTCAATTTCTCCTAAGACTGATGGAGTAGATAAGATAATATAATTACCTTAGGAAAACAGTGACATTCTCAAAAGAGACCATCGTTAATTTAGTCAAAGATTTCTTACTCTCATTGATTTCTCACGTTATTTTTGAGTTTGTCTTTCATATCCTCCATATTGGATCTTAATGTACCATATGCATCCTGTCATGTCTTCACATCTTAATTCATCCCGTTCTGTTTACATTTTTATATAACAGTTTACAAACTTTTCTCAATATCAAAACTGCAACCCTCAAAAGCTCTCTTTGCCTATTGGCGCGGTCGACGATTATAGATTTTTTTGTTTCTCGAAATTTTCATGGGTTTCTTCTAAGAACAGTATAGAACAATACCTAAGCTTCTATTAACATGAAAGAAAGAAATGGAACATATTCTAGAAACATAGTGAAAAAATAAGTAAATAAATATATAAACAAAGTACCTATTCGCAGGTTATTTTCGTTCCACTATGTACTATGTACATATTTAGTAAGTCAAGCTTTTGTAAACGTTTATTTCATTTTTGAAGACCTTTACAATTTATTATAAAAACTTTCATTAAAATCAAATTATAAAGTTGCAAAATAATATAACACTTCCTAACATAAAGAAGGATGAATATAAAAAACAGCTTCATCACACAATACATTATTAGTAAAATATTGAACGATTTCACCAAAGATTAATGTTAAAAATTAAGACAAAACGGGTACCTATACCAACCAAAACAAAATTATTAGTAGCGACATAAAACATCCCGTAAATTTTTTTATTCGAAAGCAATCTGAATTTAATAATAAGTTATGAATAAATGTTAATATAAAAGTAAAATATACAAACTTTTGTATAACAGTAGTTGAGTTAGCTAAGTAATGTGTAGTGAAACAAGAATATTTAGGAAAATTTTAACAGATATGTTAGAGAAAAAGAATAAATAACATTGAAGTACCTTTATACAAAACCCAAAATAAAATAAATAATATAACAAACTGACATTGTTTTTCGAAGATGTGCTCAAAGGTTGTTTATTTAAAAACTGAGTCACCCTATTACATATATATGGGGTGCCCCGGTACTTGATACAAACAGTTCTTAATTTATTTTTTTTTCAGAAGGGCCTTCGTTAACAAGTGACCGACCCTCAAAGGTGAAAATTAAAAAGTTATTTTTATTTACAGTCTCTAAACTATTAACTTCAGCATTATGCTTTGGTGATCGATAACACATGCGTACAGCTTGTTTTTGATGTTGTAAGTAAAACTTCAATATGACCAGAATGCCAGAGACGGACTATGCCCAATGGTTAACAACCCAGAATTTTTGCATAGATGACGATCGCAATCTGCCTGTATAAAAAATAAGTTCCCTGAAGAATTTGCTAACTATAATAGCCTCTTAATAGCCTCTTGGTTCAACGGTAAAATTAACAATTTAGGAATTATTTGTGATCTTATGTCACAGTGTACAGTGAAAAGCGCCTCCACGTTTTTTGTTTTTAATTTTTAATTGGACATAATTACTATGTTAGAACCGTACATATTTTTAAAATAAGAATCTAGAAAACCTTACTGTCTGCTAATGTAATTTTCACTAACAACATTTGACAAACACACTTTATACATAACACAAAATAGAAAAACAAAACAAGAATAAGTTAAAGTAAGGTAAGTATTCAACTCCAGACTATTATCGTTGGCAAATTCTCCAAAGAACTTATTTTTGATACAGACAGATTGCGATCATCATCTAGATAAAAATTCTGGGTTGTTAACCATTGGGCATAGTCCGTCCCTGACGTTCTATGCATAATGAAGTTTCACTTACATCAAAAAGAAGGTGTACGCAAGTGTTATCGATCACCAAAGCATCATGCTAAAGTTAATAGTTTAGAGACTGTAAATAAAAGTAACTTTTTAATTTTTACCTTTTAGGGACCGAAACTTGTGAACGAAGGCCCGTATGAAAAAAATTTATATGAAGAACTGATATTATTTTGACCTCATCTAAACAAATACACTCGACTTTTTTGTATCAAGTATCGGGACACTCTGTATATACATGGTTCTTCACAGTAAGTGGCCTATTAAGCCTTTCAGAGGAATCAAAGACAATATGACTCTGAAATTTTGTTTACGGGGGTTATCAGATATGTTCTCTGCAATGAAAATAATGCCATCAACGTAGCACTTCCGATTATACCAAAAGTAGTTTGTCCTGGAGAGACGAAACGTCCCATATAAAAATTGATTATGCCATTCGATAGAGGGTAAAAAGTTGCCATGAAAAAGTGTTCTTCTTTTTTCAATATCATCTCAAACAAGCTAAAATTAAACAAAAACGGATTTCCAAAATTTCGGATTTTTTTTCAAATATTTCGAAAACTAATTATGTTAGCCTTGATTTTTTAGGGCCATAATGTTGGTCCCCTGATTATGCAACTTTTTAAGCTACTTCGTGTCTCTTACCGTTTCAGAGATCCCTGTAGTGAGAAGCGAATTTGTAACAGCCTGTATATTAAAGTAACTGTAATAAATGGTTGCCCGTGAAAAAAGCTTAACAATTCGTACATAAATTGATTTTCACCAGTGCGACATGTTGATAATTTTATTCCAGTATAACTTATATTGTTGCGTAAAACATAAATAGGTAAATGTGATGAGTATATTTATTAGAAGACAATAAAATAAAATTTGTATTTAATGATGAAAAAATAAACGTAAATATACGTATACCTTGTTACGTATGTCTTTTACCCAATGCTGTGTAGAATCTTTCTTCCACCGTTTAAAAAAATATATTTTAGAATAAATATTTTATATTGTTTTTTTTTAATAGAAAATGGGTAACAGAGTATATTCAATTGTCGTCTTAGCTTTAGAACTTTAATGAACCAGGGCATAAATAAATCGTTTTCTTGATACTGAGTATTAAAATTAACTATTAGTTGAAAATATCGCATATTTATTTAAATATCATTAAATAGTTTGACTTAGATAATTGAAAGTTGCATTAATAATACAGTTAATTAAAGGCAACAATTCACTGAATAGGAATGATAAAATCTGTCGGCTAAACAATGAGTATTTTAAAAAACTTGATTGGAGTGCATTTAATTTTTAATATTTCTAAGGAAAAATGTGTCTCCTATAGCCATATTCGAGTTATTACCTTATAAATTTTAAATCAAGCTATCCGTACGATACCATAAATCTATAACAAGTTTAAAATTATTTTTTTCTTACACTGAAAAAGCAGGCAAATACAAAACACATCACTTTATATCGCGCACTTAAGTTGTTAACGTTTGGAAAACCTAACTATTTCGTTATTAAAACTAAAATAAAGAAAAAAAAATGAAAACTATGTCACAAGTAACTTCAGACAACTCTAAAATTATTCTAAAACTGTAATAATTACTCGTTCGCAAAAAAAGTATGAGTTTTCCTTAGCAACGCAATTTTAAATAGAATACTGAAACTATTAAAACTCAAAAAAGTTGTTACCTCAGAAATTTTTAATTATCTGAAGAATAATTAGGCATCACAGCTCCCAAAAAAATTAAAATTTCTCATTATATTCTATTCTATAGATCCATAATCTGCGAATTCTTTTAAAAACAGTGCAGTTTTATGTTAGATCTCGGAAATTCTATTAACCCTGGAATTAGTACCTATAAGTTTATAATATCTAAATATATAAATCCATATATCTCTAGCATTGATACATTGAATAAATTAACAATTTTCAGGATGAGCTACTTGAACACATCCTTAAATTTTGAAAACAACAATAAACCTGTGTAATTCTATTACTCAATCTATATCTCCAAAAAATAAAAAGTTACCGATGTTAGGGGATACAAAATATGTTTTAGTCTGTAACTTTTTTGAAGTGATAAATTTCATTTGAATTTGACAGCTTACCAGAAATAAATACACATAATATTTACGCAAACAAATAAACTCACTTTTTTAATGTGTTTCGAAAAAGAAAACATACTTACGTAGTTTTTGCAAAGAACAAAAATGTTATGCACAAAATATTTCACGAAATATCTAGGAACACTGCTACACGCGAAAGGGCAGCATTCTAATATGTATTTCATTCTCCAATCAGCATTAAAGATTTCTTACCAATTAGGATTAAGCTAAAGGAGAAATGGTTTTGATGAGTTGCGCAAAGTGAACGGACAAACTTTTATATATATTTATATATATTTTTATTTATATTTAAATATAGTTTTCAAAAATAAAGGCTAGTTTGCTATACCATAAGTAAACAGTTTCGGAGTAAAGATAAAAGTGAGAAACGGATTGCTATACATATACATAATGTTTTTTAAATTTTATACTTTCCATAACTTTTATACGGATTGTCTGATTGATGGCAGGACATAACAGATTTGATGAGAACAATTGCCCTGTTGCTAAATTGTCATTTTTGGACCAAATTACTCCCATTTAATAGTAAGGACTGGGGTGTAAAGACGGGCAAAAAAAATAAATGAAAGAGGAAACTCTACTTAAATTTTAAATGGGAAATAAGAACCCAGTTTGTACATTTCTCTTGCTGTATTCATTATATTATAAGCAGACATTTTTATGGTACCTTATTCAAGGTTCTTTGAACCTTTCATTTTTTTTTGCTTTTTTATTTATTATTTATGTACTACATTTACATTTCCATCCAAATCCAACTTGATCTAAATAGACCTAACATTTACAAATATTTCAAGTTCTTCACAAAGCGTCGAAATGAGTACACTAGTTTTAACGCTTCTTTGCAGTTGCCAATAAATTTTCTTTCAGCATGACGAAGAGGAACAACGTGTTCAGACATTATTACAATATTTTAATCTAAGAATAAATTATCGTATTTTCATAAAACTTCTTGAAGGAAATAAAGTCCAAGTATATTTTGCAATGTATGTGCAGGTTTTGGTTGTGCTTCACTTGCAATTTGATACTGTCCTATTAGCAGTGATTTAGAACCACTGTAATATTGGTGGTGTTCTTAGCGATGCAATAGGCCTTGGTTCTATTGTTGGTGTTCTTGGAGGAGAATGCCGAATTTCATGTAAGGTGTCCCTATTTTCATCAAATTAATTAATTATCTGCGTAATTGTCTATTTGTTATATAAGCTGGTTCAAACAACCAGTATGAAGAAAATTTAGTGGATATATATTAGTTTTTATAAACCCTTTGAATGTTCATAGCTTTCGTATATACATTTTCGACAAGCTTGCAAATTTACAATATGGTCTCAGTACTTCTGAAGTGTAATAGTGTAATACGTGCTTAATGGTGACATAAAACTAACGTTCAAATGGTTGTAAACGATGAGTCGTATGTGGGAGTAAACATAGCATAAACATTTAGATAGTTTTTTAATATCATCATTATTTCGTCTCGTCGATATTATAAATGCGGTCAGCTAGTATTTGATATTTCAGAGAGCAATGAAAATTATTTTTATTAAAACCTATGTCTCTAGGCTCGAGTGTCCGAATTTTAATATTCGGATTTAGGATTCCTGGTCCTATCTGGTTTTTCCTTATACTGTCCCATTGCGAAAACCAAATAAAAAAATATATATAACCAAAAAAAACTTCAAAAACGCAAAAGGGGATGATATCACATTTTATCCGACTGTTTGGTATTCCGTTTTGTCCAACTATGAAGCTCGAAATATTTAAATCGTTTATAGGCTTGATAATGAGCAATTGAAAACTTTTTTGTTTAAAACAGTCCAAATTTTAAAGGTTTAAAGGTTAAGTTTTAAAGGTTTAAAGGTTTTGAATAAAATGCGGCAAAATTTTATCTAGGACGCCTAGTTTTAAAAGTAGAATAAACTACATACAGGGTGTTTATAAAGTACCCTAGTGGGCAAAAAAAAACAGTGGTAATGCTGTCAATGTGTCAATATTTGCGTCTCTATCTGTTAAGTTAAATCAATACATCGTTTTTTCTTTATATAGAAATTTTTAGTTGTATCAAAAACTTATTTTATTGAAGCACAGTGTAAATAATCAATGTTTTTTAGTATCTTTCCTATACTGCTTTTATACAAATTGCGCTTGTTGGATTTTTTTTTAGCCTGCACATTTGTATAATTAATAAGTATTTCCTAACAAGTAATTTAAGAAAATGTCCAGAAGTCAATATCTGGTTTTCACTTTAGGAATTTTCAGTGGTTTAAAATATAATGAAATTTTAGTGACATAATAAAATACAGTGACGAGGAGCAAGTATCTATGTAGCACTTTAAAATTATGTATGGCCTAAAATTAAGTGAACATTTAATTCATTTCTTTCATTATTTAGTTTTCCACACAGTCTACAACATTTAAAAAATTAATCAAATCATACTGATCTCTTGATAAAAAGAAAAAAATTATAACTATAAAAAGATCCATTTCATGGAAACAATAACTTACTGTTTCTTACTGTTTTTTAAATGCTGACCTCATTGTGTATTTTTTTTATAAATTTTGGTCATCAGAAAACAACTTTCTCGTAATCCACACTAAGTTCAAAATGCACATTGCTTAATTCATTTATTGCGAAATTCATTATGAAGATCTGTTATGAAAAATAACATAATAAAATATGTATCTCTATTAACCATTAAATCATTTTAATAACTGCAATTTTCAACGTAGATATATAATAATAAATACTAAAAATGGCAATGAAATCACATTCTTCTCATTATTGCACACACCTTGTATACATGTGCATATATACGTTCAACGAATTTGTAGATATATAATAACAAATACTAAAAATGGCAATGAAATCACATTCTTCTCATTATTGCACACACCTTGTATACATGTGCATATATACGTTCAACGAATCATTGATAAAATGTTGACAATTGATAAAAGTACAAAACATCAAAACAGATTGCTGTACATGATTTCTTAATTAATGCTATTAGATAGAAGATATTTAATGTAGGGTATTATTCTACATGGTAATATAAATCCCATCCTTATGTTTTTAGTATATTGTTTAGGTTTATTTTACATGATCTTTCGATTTGAAACTACATATTTATTGTGGGTTTCCTTAGAGAGTTTCATTTCTTATAAGTATGTGGATAGTATATTCTGTCAAACTGTAAACTGTTTAAAAAATTTAAACAGGCAGTGAACTTCTGCCATACAAGCTATTTACAAAAAATGTTTTCTTATTTCGATATCTTACTTGGAAATGAATCCATTCAATAATGCAGGGTGTTTTATTAAGAATAAGAAATGTTATGTTGGTTGTCAAAATTGGGATTTTTGCTTCGAAAACCAATGCACCAACTGAATTAAAACTTTCAGAATGTATTTTTTTAAGAAGGGAATTAAAAAATTGTATTCTTGTTTAATAAACAAAATAATTATATTGTATAAAAATAAAAATTATCCATTAGCACTACTTTTAAAATCCGGCTGAAAAATTAAAATTGGATCACCTCCAACGCATCCTGATACTTTATAAAATAGTGAACCAAAAAATTCAATTTGCAATTGTGTCAAAACTTTGTGCACACTTAAAGTACATATAACTCACTACTTTTGTGCACAAGGTCACCTATACAACTTAAAAAATGGCGGAGTAATGAATTTAAAAAAAAAAGTTAAATTTTCCGATTTTTCCGAGTTTTCTCCGTTTCTAATTAGCCGATCGGATCAATCGCCCTCTTGTTATATTTCGATTCTCTACAATTTGTCATATAGTATTTAGATTGCTTTGTTAGTTTAGGTTTTATAAGCAAAAAACTAAAAAAAATTCATTTTTTGCATAAAAATATTTATAAAAAATTAATTAATGGTAAATTGGAGTAGGAAACATAAAAGCATATACCTACAGACTGTCTTTTATATGATGGCACAGTCCTTTTGCTACTAGTATTTTTATCACAAACAAAACATCTATACCTTGGTATTTGAATGTGGATAGTGTAATCGTCAGCGAATTGATACTCTTTGATTTTAGTATTCAAAACCATATGCGTTTAATATACTCATGTGAATATAAAAGTGGGCTTAATATGCATTCTTGGGGTAACTCCGTAGAAGTCTGCCTCGGTCCTATTAATGCATCATATGTTCTTACGTATATACAGGGTTAGGTAGAATGATATATTCATTTTTAAAGTTAGTTTGCCTCATGCCTAATATAGTGCGTAACAAATTCAAATCAAGTCGACATGGCTTCGCGATAAATGGAAGTTTAAGACAGTTGTTAAAGCGATTCCGATAAACGTAACTTTAGATGTGAATATGCAGGCGCATTGGTCAAATATTCAACGTTCTTTTGGGGTTGAAATTTATTTTAAGAATAACAATTCTATTGTAACCACCTATTTCGTTGTCACTTCCATTTAAATCTACGAGATCCGTCCGAGTCGATTAAAAACACTAGAAGGTGGGTAAACAAGTTTCGCAGTACTTAAAATAAAAATGTTTTACTTTTGAAAAATGTTGAGCACTTTATCTACTAGATGGGTCATCTCGCTTTAACAGCTATAACATAGATATCCTATTCACGGTAGAAAAAGAGATCAACAATTTTGTATTCCTTTCCTCGATATGACCATTATTTGTAATGATCAAAATGAATGACGGTCTAAATGACCACATAAAACATATGAGCAGTGGCAACTCCATTCGTATCACAAGTACATGCTGAAAATCAATTTAATATTGGCATTTAAAATGGCAATTGGCAGGGAATGCAATCTAATACTTCCACAATTTAAAGAAGATTCCTTAAGGACATTGAAAGTTAACTTAGTGGATACTTCATAATTAAATAAATTAATTATAAATATTATTTGTTATATTTTCCGAATTGAGGGAGTTATTCAACAAAAAAAAATTGGTGTAAATTATACTGCTATAACATGCGGCAATATCATGTCCCCTAAGCAACCTGTGATGGAGAACTTTAATTCATTTTATGGTGGTGTCTGATCATCACTTTGACCATCGGAAAGATGGATAGGAAGAGAAAGTCTAATTTCATAGTCATCACACTCACCCCACCTGAATAAATCAAGAAGCTGCAGGTGAATTAAAAAGTTTAA